GGTGACAGAACCAAGCACATTCTGCCTAAGTTCTTCTTCACACATGATCTCCAGAAGGCCGGTGAAGTTCAAGTCTTGCAAGTCCGTTCAAGTGAGAACTCAGCTGATCTCTTCACCAAGTCTTTGCCAACTACAACCTTCAAGAGGCTCATCCATCAGATTGGGATGCGCCAGCTGAAGGATCTTCAGTGATGCATCCATCAGGGGGAGTTCCATGTGTTGTACTCTTTTGTCCTGTCCTTGGTCTTCCCTTTTTACCACATTGGGTTTTGGGTTTTACCAGGAGAGGTTTTAATGAGGCAACTTCCAAAGCATGGAACAAATCTTGGCAGGATATATCAACCAAGGGGGAGTGTTAAGATATGATGGTTGGGATATATCTTTATTTGTAGTTATCATAAACCTTACTAGTTTATGATTATCCTTTGGCATGTAATCTTTATTCTAGTAGGATTCTAGTTTATCCTTGTCATTGGATAGATTGTAGACACCATATATATATGTGTGTCGTGTGGTTTAATGANAGATATGATGGTTGGGATATATCTTTATTTGTAGTTATCATAAACCTTACTAGTTTATGATTATCCTTTGGCATGTAATCTTTATTCTAGTAGGATTCTAGTTTATCCTTGTCATTGGATAGATTGTAGACACCATATATATATGTGTGTCGTGTGGTTTAATGAGATACACAAGTTACTACTCTTCTAATCTCAACAGAATTTCAGTTTCTGAAAAGGGTAAAAGTAATGAATTTCAGACAGTGAAACCAGATAAGATTTTAACTAATTCATAACGTACTGAATTACTGATATGATATCTACACAGATTTTAACATAATTAGCTTACTTTTTGCATATATATTAAATAATCGAAAAGGACAAACAAACTTTAATGGAATTTCATGAGTTTTATCATTACAAAACAAATATTTTTTTTTTAATATTAATCCTTTATAGTATTTCTTTTATCAAAGTGAATTTAGTTAGGAAACAATGATGACTAGATGACTAGATGCATGAAGCAAATAGCCTCTCTTTTTTTTTCTTTTTGTAAACTGCTTTAAGAGCCTCTCTTGTTGCATGTGATGATTGAATCCTTTTTGGGAGTTCATGGTGTTTTTTGTATGCAAATGATTAGGCTTGTGTTAGGAATCTCATTTCAGTACTGCTCTCATCGGTGGAGAGAGTTATTCTGGTTTCATCAGTACGGTGTTGCCAAGTCTAACGAGCTTCCTTGGAGCTAAAAAAAAAAAAAAAAAAGAGAGAAACTGGTTTTCCTACATTCTCCATTATTTTAAAAAAGATTCATAAAAAGTCACAAATGGTAGAGCACAACAACTAAGAACAACAGATCTTCTGGTTATCGCATTAAATAGAAGAATCCAACCCTCCTGGTCCCTAAAATGAAATAAATAAACTAAAAGGACTTGATCAATGACTAAAAAAGCTATACCTAATTTGACAGTATTTTATATACGTATAAAAAGACTACATCTGCTTCTCCATTGAAGATAAGCTTCCCGGGGAGATGCAAGAGCAGACACAACAATGATCACATTAATCAGACAACAGCAGAAGTAGTACGTCTCAGGTCAACATCGTTCTTAACTTTCTCACTCGGTAGTGTTCCTTTAAAACTCCCATATCTCATAGGCCTAGGAATGTAAAGAGAGCTGAGAATCTTCTCCAAAGCCACCACTGAGTATCTCACGTACTTGCTCGAACTAGCATCTTTCTCAACCAACGGCCCATAGTTTTGCATATAGCTTCTGTAAACCGGCACAACAGCCTGAACAATCTGTTGACAAACTCTCTCCCTCAAATCTTTTTCAGGTACAACCCATGTGGATTGCTTCTTATACATCTCATCAAACGCATCGTTAAAAGACTTCAGCCTCTTCTTGACAAGATCACGAGCCGTGGCGTGTCCACCAGAGAAGAGTATAAGCCCGTCCCTGCTCAAATGGCTTGGGAGCTTACCCCAAGTGTCTCTAAGGAAGACAGTAGCGTAATACTCTTTGTACTGATCATGTTCCTTCAGCCATGAATCTCCTAACTGATCTCCAATTCTAGTACCCTTTAAGCTCTTGTATAGATGCCAGTGATTGTTCATACCGAAGAAATGAGCTAGCGTTTGATCCGGATACGCTTTCATCCATGCATCCATGTTGTGTTCAATCATTTTGATTATTCTTAGAACCTCAACCATAAGCTGATTATCTTGGAACCTTTCTGATCTCCAGCTTTTGTTTATGAGCAGAACTTGAGTAAGCGTTGACTTGTATTTGTCTCCTATAAGTTTATTACAGTAATCAGTTACAAAACTGACTAGTCTAGGAACACCACCGTCGCTAGGCGGCGGGATTTGCTTCTGAATCTCTACCTGAACCAAAAGCTCCCAGAAGATCTCAGCTGCACCGTCTATTAGCTTCTTGATGAGATCTCTTGTGAAGTTTTGGATCTCAATACAAGCTGCTCCACCAAAGAGACGGTTGAAATCAGCTCTCAGTTTGTTCAATGAAGTGAAGATGTCAAGCAGCTTCAGAAGCTTGATTGGATCTTTCTTGCTATCGGTAACAGTTTTCCCAAACTGGAGAAACGCGAGCATACCAGCTTGAGCAGCGATCTTGGAGAAGCAATCCATCCAAACATTTAAACCAACTCTCTCAAACACATCGTTGCAAAGCTTGAACTCGGCTTCGAACAGATGCTTAACAGCAAACTCTAAATGATTCCCCCACTGAGATATATAGCCTTCTATGCTCTGCACGTCGTTGAACTCGGTAACAGAGATGTCTAGATAGTCTAAGTCAAGTGCTTGAAGACTAGCTCTAACGTTAGAGCTCCTCACTTCCACGTATATCGAAACACACTTTTCGAGTCTGTTGTTAGCTCTGAGCCTCCCAAGAATGGCTTGCAGTTTATGGATTACGGTTACAGGTAACTGAGACGGTGCAATGCATGCTTGTTCTCCTAATGATGGTGGAGACGCCATGGGAAGTGGAACACTGTTATCCTTCAATAGCCTCCTGAACTCGTTCTCAAGTTTGTCCAAAGCAGCTTCCCTAAGCCCACCATCAAGCCTAGCTTTCTCTTCTTGAAACTCCCTGAGACCTTTCAAAGAGTTCTTCAAATTCAAAAGATACTTCTCATCAGCAACATTGTGATCTTCCAAATACTCAACAATATCCTCCAGCCACTGGATAGCTAACCCACAATTCTCACCTAGAAACTTCAAAGCTTCCTCTAACCGCTTCAACACCGCTAAGTACCCAGAGAGATCGTTCTTGGGATCTGATAATAAAGACTTCTCAAGTCCATGGACAGCATCAAACACCTTGAGAACTGCAGCTGCAGGACCAACAGCTCGGTTAATGTGGCCACCAACAGCTACAAGAGCTTCTCTATCTGCTCTTATAGGCCTCACAGCAGCTTCAAGGGAAGGTAATCTCTGCTCAATCTCAGCAAACCTAGGACCGGTTCTCTCCAAAGCTAAACCAATGGCTTTAGATTTCTCCAGACTCGACTTTAGAGACTTTCTTGCAGACATTAAGCTTTGAATCCCTCTATCCACCATAGCAGGTTCAGCCATAACTAAACTCAATTCAGAATAAGAACCCTAGAAAACCAAGAACTCTCACTCCAAGAAAGCAATTAGCTTCCACTTAATAAAAATGGAGACTTTCAATAAATCAAACCAAACCCACAATACTACTTAGTAACAAAGCTAGACACAGAAAGTTTCCACAGCTACCAAGCAAGCCCTGAAACAATAAAGTTTTTAACTTTTGAACTGGGACAATGCAAATGAAAGAGATCAAGTGGAGATAAGGTCTTTTACTGTAATGGGTCGCCGGAGCAGAGCCGATCCGGCGGCAAAGGCGTGAGCTTGGAGGAAGAAACGAAACGGCGTGAGATTCTCCAGAGAGAAAGAGAGAAACTTTTTAGTATTGTTTTTGGACAGTTTTTTTTTTTTTGGCCGACGGAAACTGACAAAGTGCATGACAGTCGAGCACAAGGTTTCACACAGTATCACTCGCGATCTTTGGTTTAAAAAAGGAAACTATTAAAATCTATAAGTTAATTAAAATGATAATTACGTAACTTTTTGTTTAATAATTGATTAATTATTTTTTGCTTTTTCACTGAATAAAAGTATAACACTATGCTTAAGTATGTTTTACTTTTAGAACATTTTCTCAAAAATGTATTCAGACTTTCGAATCTTTTTTTTTTCTTTTTGCAATTCTGAATTAGTTTCGTAGACTTGTGATCATCTGCATTTAATGGTTTACCATATTCAACTTTGTGGTAACGTGGGAGTTAGGCCTAAATTTAACTCACTTTACTTCGAACATAAATGATGATTTTATTCCTTTATATGCAAAATTTCCAAAATAAAGTTTAACATTGACCGTCAACATTGACCAGATGAAAAAGTAATTAAAACCATTAAAACTAAAAGTCATTACTTCCTTCCCTCCCTACCATTTTCAGATTTTATATTCGCTTTACAAAATACTGTCATATTAGTTATAGAAACTAGGTGTTTTGCCCGCACATGCGGGCTTAATTATCTTTTAGTCAATTTAAAAATCATCAAAATAAATAATTATTGCATTCAAAAAATTTGACCGAAAACATTAAACTTTTCTACATGATAAAGTTATTCACAAATTAAAAATATATTTTTCCTTTAAAACTTTGAAAAATCTAAAGTCTATTTCATTTCTTCTTAATTGATAAAAAATAGAAATCTATCTTTCCATTTCAAAAAATTGAGTCGATAAATATACATTCAAATTTAATCATACAAAAAGAATAATATTAGTTTAGATAATAATACAATATATTTGAATTTATTTTTATCAAACACATATTTTCTTTTTATTTTTAATGATCTTTTGTTTTATATGATTAATTCATGTTTAAGGTTTAACAAAAGAAAATATAAATTGAAATTTAATTTAACGTGTGAGTTCAGAAAAATAACTTCACAAATATATACATATATCATTATATTATTATATTCTTTTAATAAATAATTTTGTATTATATTTTTTTCAATTTTCTCTTTTGAATTATAGAAAATTAAAAAAAAAATTTATGAATACTTATTTATGTGTTTTTTTGAATTTTTTTAATTAAATATATTTTTCGGATAACAACACAATATATATAAGAATTATCTTTTTCTTTTAAATATATATTTAGATTATGGTTAATTCTTATCATTATTATAATTTAAATAATTTATCTAATCAAATAAGTATTAAATTATTTTTTATTTTTGGCTAATTTATATATTTTATTCATTAAGGGTATAATCGATATTAACCACTCTAACTTTTAATGTGAGAGCTCCGTTGCGAAAAATCACTTCGCAAATAATAGTATAGATATTTAGCGTGTCAAGAAAAGATAAAATAAATCATCGTATAAATAATAAAAAATTTAAAATTATACGTGGAACTTTAAAATTGACACTAATGAAACAAATTAAAAGACTAACATGATTATAATTCAACCAATTGAGTTTATATTTGATTGGGTTTTGGTTGGTTTAACTTTAGTTGGTTAGATGTATAGTTTAGTTCGGCTCGGTTTTTTCTCACACCTAATATTTAGTTCAAATGATCTGCTATGTATGACTTGGATAATATACTTGAATGAATCATATGTTATGTATGACTTCTTCTTTGCTTTTTTTAACTATGCTACGTATATCTTGCCGTATAGGGAAATATATGAATAGTACGTGTGTTTCGTATTATTTGCCTCATACTTCATGATAAAGGTTGTCTGTGTCGGCATGATAAAATGTTTAACAAAGTCCGATTCAAATCAATCATGTAAGCTAATACGAAGGTTCATATAAGTGCGAATCACGCTGTCAATATAAGACTAACGGTTTCATAGGACCGCACTAGAAAACAGATCTCTGCCATTTTCTATTGCACGTATGGCAACTAAGAAAACGAAGATAAGTGCATGTCAAAGAATAGAAGAAGTGTGCCCTGGTGATATTGAATGGGCAATACAAATCTTTGTAGATTACACTTGCAAGTTGCAACACGCGATTATCTTAGAAACTGGTCATACCATATAAAAATCCCAATTCTCACACGCTAACGTCATACATATGTTTTCATTACACTTTGTCGACTCTTATGTTATGTGTAATTAATAATTATCGATCCAATTTAGCCTTTTGATCATAATAATCGAAATAAATGTAATCACGTACGTCAGTCGTCGCCGTGTTTGTGCAATGTTCATATACGAGGAAATTAAATAAAACAAAACAAAGGTCCATAGATATGTTAGCATATTGAATATATAATGTATATGGTCAAGTCGTTTTGTAGAAGATTATTTATTTTTATCCAGGGAAATAACATGCCAAATCTCACTGACCTCGTCAACATAATTGTTGTTTAATACTTCTTTCTCACTGAGATTCCTAAACCAGCTATGTTCTTGCACTCTCATAGGTGTTAAATATGGGCTTGGCGGATGCAGCTTACAACTTATGGGGTCACGTGCTCCCAACTAATTTTAATTAGTTTTCTATAAGTAATGAACTCAAAAACTTACTTTTTAAATTAACTAGGTAAAATCAAATGATAATGCCCCCCGCTAATTTACAGTTTATAGTAGTGCTCCTAGTTAAAAGTACTTAGCGCCACTAACTTCATTACCAATTGCTTGTAACAAATCTCTAATCAGACGACTCTCATTTATTATGTGACTCATCACTTTGTCTCTGCAGTGTCTTTCGATCAACCTTCTAGACGAAATCTTTGATCAGCTTAACTATTTGTGTCGGTTGACTTTTTGTTACTCCTTGTTTACAGCAAAGGAGAAACCTAAAGCCTTGGCCATTTTCCATTTCGTTCCTTTCTTTGTTTGTTAGTGTTTTCCCTCTTAGGGTAGGTTGATTGATTTTACTTCTTTGATGACCAAACGTATTACATGGAGAACCACCCAAAAGAAACTCACATGTACCAAACAGAAAGTACACGAATTTTTTTTTTTTTTTTTTTTTTTTTTTTTTTTTTTTTTTTTTTTTTT